AAGAGGGGGAGGTGGGAAAGAGGGGTATAACGTTGTATTGTCTCCATACACATTTTAAATGGTAAAATTTGTTCATTGTCGATAGGTATGTTAAAACGTTATAGAGTTGAATGTACATAACAAGCAAAGTTCCTATGAGACTTCTCAAGCAAGGTGAGGACTTAATATAAGTGCACGGTTTCCTTTCGAAAACATGAACAATAACGCGGACGACGATAAGGGAAGACACAGCAATCCATATCAGATTTTTAAAATGGATTATGTTACAAGGTATCGCATCTCAAAATTTTTTTTTGCGCCGTTGGATGAAAAATTGCACCATCATTTCTGCCACAAAGATGTGACACAAATCAAAAAAAGAATTACCCTCTGTAACCGGCCACCAATGCATTTTGTAAACTCTGTGCTTTAAAGAGGAAACTCACGAGCTCTCATCCAAAGATATCCGGCCAACAAAGTTTACCTGATTGAATGAATCGATAAGCATTTGCTTCGTTTGCACCAGTCAGCTGATTGGTGTGCATCAGATATTTTAAGACGTAGACGTTCGGTGCAAGCCCGATCATAGTTTGCTCTCCACAACCAGTAGGTTGTCCGATAAATCTCTCCAGACCTCCCTCAATAGTAGTGTTAACAACTGGACCAAGAAGGTTTCCTGAAACAAAAAGTGGGTCATCAGCGGTTTGGTAGTTCCAAGATTTACTAATTTTTACACCGACTTGATGCCATATTTTCCTTTGGGAGAGGCAACCAAAACTGGAGGGAGCATGAGTACTGAGACAATTTCTACCTTCAAAGGACCCTTTTCGGTTTTCCTTAAATCTAAATTTTCTGGAGAAACGACTGGATACATTCATAATCGAGCATGTACCTGTCACGTAAACCATTGCACCGACTGAACCAGGAATGGCTTTCTTTGGAAAATCCAACTTGATAATATCATGCTGGCCGTTACCATCCACATGCGCTGAAAAAACAGTATACACTATGAGATTAAAATACTTCACAGTTATTCGCACGTGTTGCAAGCGAAATCATGCAATAATGGAAATCGTTCAGACTGCTAGTTTTTGGTTCCACGAAAATAGATTCTAAATATTAACTCGATTTACATGATCAGCGAAAATGAACAAGCATTGATAAAACAGGGAAACCCCTTTCCCATTCAAAACGATCATCCTTTCAAAACAGTCTTATTGTTCAAGCCACACGCCTATTAGTTGCTCACGTCTGTTAAATTTCAAACAATGTGCTGAGGTTTCCCTCACTTTACTTTCATAGCCTAAATGTCTCGCGAATTGCTTTCATTGTACGATCGCCAGCTTTTAGAAAAACATTAAAAGCTTCAGCCGACACATTCTACTCGTTCATCTCAGACATGCAGCTTCAGTGTCCCTTTCGCACATTTCAAATACATACATTGACTCTGGAAAGGTGCAGCTGTTGGTTTGTTTTGGCTGTGATCTCCATTTTTAGGACCGTCGTTTAGGTTTCCTAGATAAATAAACGAATTGAGATCAGTAAAAAATAACTCTTTCTTTATCCTTACACACACAAAAAGGCAAGTTAGAAGGATTATCAAAATAAAAATGACGAATATTCCACTAAATTATAAACAAATAACTGCATAGAACTCAGCAGTAACACATCTATGGAATGGTTCTCCGTTCACTGATTTCAGATAAATTAATAAAAATTCGGAGTGTCCGTTAATGCCAAGGAAAGAAAACTTGAGAACTGGAAGAAAAAAAAACTGGGAACAAGGACGGTGGGCAATAATAGAATCAACCACTCTGTGACAACAGGTTGAGCCCAAGCCACAGCGGTGGGAGGCTACGCTCTCAACACTGAGCCTCTTCATAGGAGAATTGAATTTCTCTTTCCTTAACATCAAAAATATGTTTTTAAGAGTTTGTCTCAATATATTTAAAATTATTAAAAACTGGATCATAGGATAATGCAATTATCCAAAGACTTTTCATTGGCTTAGCCATCATGGTATATGAGCCAATATACCATAATCTCATATCTGTACATGGAAACATTCGGTTTCTTCTTATAAAATAAAGTCAAGAGGATTTGTCTAATATCTTAGGAGCGTTTTCTTTAATAAAACAATTATTTCACTCGCGCTTGTTGGATATGAGATGATTATAGCCAACTTGGCGCTACGCGCCTCTTTGGCTATCTATCATCTCATATCCAACGCGCCCTCGTGGAATAATTGCTAAATAGTTTGTTATGCTCGGAAGGTCTTACCATTTGGATCCAATACAAAGGATTGCGTTTTTCGAGTTTCCTTTCCTTCCGGCTAAAATGAAAAGTTATAAGAAACAGTTAAACAGTTTTGAAAGTAACAGCGAATAGAAAAATGGGAAATAATTGTCTTTCTCCTTTCACCATCTCTAACCCTCCTACATTCTGTCAGTCCAATTCACTCGACATTCTTTTTAAAACTTGAAGTTCACGACGGAGGTATGGAGTTCATCAACCATTCTTATGTAATGAAAAGGTCATGGCTATTCATCATGGTGTGTGTAGTTATCATTTGCCTCACGATTTAATGGATGGAAGGCCTGCGCAGGACAGAATCAACAAACATGGTGAAGATATCAGACCATACCCAGAAAATCGGGCGCCGCCTGCTTTGGGAAGAAAACTATTTTATCGATTGTGGCCTCGTTGTTACACACGCAGGTAAAAGAGGCGATTCACTAAAGATTTCGCCGTAACAACATCAAGAGTCTATAAACATGGATTCCCAGGACCGAGAAAGACAGTAGCCTTCTGAGTTGAACGTCAGCGAACCGTGAGGAAACACTAATTGACATGCGCCAATCACAGCGGTCGAAAGCTAACCAATCAAAGCAGTGCGGGTATCCAAAAAGGCAAAAACGGCATTGGCTGAGTTAATGTATAAAATCCGAATTCCCCAATTCTACAACCACGTATAACCTCCGATAAAATTGCACTGATCAACAAGATCTTGAATTCAATATTTTTCCTGTTTGAGAATCTGTCAATATTCTTGTGATCTCCTTCGACTCAATAATGTTGTACGTAAGTTTCATAAAAGGAAGGTAACCAGGAATTTTAAGCCATCAGTGAGAATTGTAGTTTTTAAACGATTTTATTGGGGGAAAAGGAGAGAAACAGCCACCATATAATATGCTAAAATAATAATAACTTTAAGACCTGGTTTCATGATGGTCTCAATGGGATGGTGGCTTTTACGGCTAAGGGTAAATATTTTGGCCGGTTAATTTCTTTCCGTTAAGGTTAACAGAAGCAAACCTTTACAGTGAACTCTTTATATTACGACTAACGGTTAAAATTCGTCAATCTTTACCCCTGACGCCATATTTATTTTTGCCAACGAAATATATTTCCATTAACATGAAAAAAGGAGGTTTCATACTAAATTCTCAACCATGGGTACGAGAACATTCTTATCATGTTCTCAAAAGTTCCAACACATCCAGCCCCAATATTCTCATGATTACACTTGAAAAAAAAAAGACTAATCATTCAGTGTTAATGCTTACCACAACGAGAAGTTTTCTTCTCACGGAATCTCCACCTTGGTTGAACATAAATCCATCAATTTCGCCTGCTAGGATGGCTGAGACCTCAATGGAGATTTCTCCAATTCTCTTAGGAACAATTGGCACGGCCACCGAGCGAGCATCGCTAGGTGGAATTTTAACTGTTCCAATCAGACCACGCTTACCATCAGCAGCAATCGAACAAAAATCTTTGTCGCCCTTGAGGTAAATTTTTGCCTGAAGAAAACGGAACAAAAAGCTAACACGTTTGATTGGAAGCAGCGTATATGATCACTGCTTAAATGACACAAACCCCGCCTGTGTGAATGCCGCTGGAGCCTTTAAACGTCATATCTTATCGAGCTATTCCTACTTTTTTCGGAAACTCGCAAACCCGTATGCTCTAATTTCAGACGCCTTCAACGCAAAATTAATTTTGGGTATCCCCTTCCAGACACTGAAAGCAAATGAAAAGGCGTTTCTTGAATAAAAATTGGGAGAGCTATCCATTGAGCTAACCGCCTCCTAGTTAGCTCAATGGATGGAGCGCTGGACTGATGTGCGGGAGGTCGAGGGTTCGAGCCCCGCCCGGACCAACACTCAAGGTCTTAAAATAATTGAGAAGAAAATGCTGCCTTTCTATAACATCAAGAAATGGTTTAGATATTCTGGTCTTCTCGGATAGGGACGAATAAATGGAGGTCCCGTCTCCAACAGGGTTAGGGGTAGAAGACGTTAATTTCCCACGCACGAGATTACTGTGTGATGGATGTCCTCCCCTGGGGTGGGATGGGTGGGTTGTTGTCCTTCGTTTCATACATGAGCCTCTGGCTCGGGCAATATGGGTAACCATACCCCACGTAAAGACATTAAACTTTGATTACTATTACTATTACTAGAGGGGATACTGGAAGAAAATGAATGAAACTTACTTTGAAATCATTCACTCACAAACTGAGTTTAAAAAGAAGAATTGTGGGTTGTGTGTGCTTCTAAAGGCAGAAAATGGAGCTACGTTATTGGAGGGAACATGGCAACGAGAAAAACAAGAATAAATTAGTGGAATGAAAAGCGTTCGTTGATCCCTGTGGGATTTAGACTGCTTTAAACGACAGCTTTTGTAATCGTTACGGTGGCCAATTTACCATTTCAACTTTGTTGATATATCCAATTTATTTCGTTACTCCCACCAACGCAGCCCCAAACAGTTTCTTTCGAAACTATCAGCCTTTATTCATGAGTTTAAAGAAACTACGTTTTCATGAATAAACTGTTTAGTTCATCTTCCTTCTTCAAAATAAGCGTTAAAATAGAATAGAATTTTAATTTCTAACTCACCGTCAACTCTTGGTCATGGTAGTTGAAAACTGTTGCCAGTATGGATATTTGCTCTCCTCTTTTGACTGAATATGGTAACTTCAGAGAGAGAAATATTTCACGCCATGCCAAAATCCTCAGAGGTGTGGCTAGTCCCAGTCCAGTTCTGTTGTTGATTGCCACAGCCTGCATCACCCACGTGGTTATGGTGTCGGGTATGGTGACACCCATCTGAATCACTCCATCCGAGCTAGGAAACATTAAATAACATGACGTTGCGTGACGTGACATATCATAACATGACATTATAGAGTCGCTTTGCAATGTACTGCGTTGCCTCACGGGTACTATGTGACTTCACAATTAAGGAGAAGTATCACTGTTCAAGCATCTAAGAAAACTAAGGCTAATCTTTATAAGTTTTTCATTTGCAATCCGGGCACACTTTTTAATCTTAAACTATCTTCGTTCCCTTGATTTCATTCCTGCCTAAGAAGCACAAGTCTCCCAGGTTTTATTCTATTGGATGGGATCCTTTTCGCCCTGCATGCCACTAAATAATGATATTAATGTAGTTCAGAAACATGCCTTAAACCCTTCCTGTTCAAAGTTTCTTACGTGATACCGACCAAGCGCCAGAGACGGTTTAACGGAACAGAGGCCTGGTCGCCAGTTTCCGTCGATGTCTCAGAAATTACGTTGCAAAAAGACTTTCTTCTTGACTCTAAAAATAAAATTCCGCTCAGATCTAAACGTCATTCAATCTCACCGACAACAGTCATTGTTAGGACCATCATGACCCGGTCGTTTACAGCATGTATACGAATCTTGAATATTAATGAAGAAGCCCTTCTAGAACAAAATCGTTTCCAAGAAAGTGAGAGAACAGAAAAAGAGCATTTTAAAAAAGCTCAGGACAACACGCCTTACCCAACAACTTTCTCGTCGTAGATCCAGGTTTCCGGGAAGAAAGATCTCACTTGAGTTTGAGAGAGGATTTCTTCTTCACTTTGATCAAAGCCATCGCCGAGGTCAAGATTTCTTGCTAGAAGGGCAGAATCTGAAAGAGAAATTGCGTTTTAAAGAACATTGAACTTGTCCTCTCAAAATTTGAAAACACATGATCTGATTGGGAAAATAAAGGTATAGGAAATTCACACAGAAGGCCAATAAGAAAGTAGTTTAATATTACACTTTAAAGTGGTTCAGATAGTATGTGTTCTGATAAGAATGCCACGCCTCTGATTGAAAGAAAATCATGCCAAACGAGAATTGAAGTCCCAGCCTTCCCAATCTGTCAGGTACTTACTATTATCATTTTCGTGGCCTAGTACGTTAGACTCAGGATCGAAAGCGTTCTCAGCCGAGTAGGGGGAGGGTTTTATTCGTGTTATGTGCAAGATATTCGAACGTCAATCCACGAGTATAACTGGGCACTAAAAAAAACTTGACCAAATGCAGAGGAGAGGGGATGAGTAACCGACAAATGCTAGGGAGAGGGGTGGGGGAACTAACCAAATCCTGGGGAGTAGGGGTGGGGTACTTTACGATGATGTACTAACCATGTTAGTCAACCAAATCCTTGTCGTTTAAAGTGAAGAAGGCCGAAAGTCCAAGCAAAGATGAACCTATACACTTAACCCTTACCTTCTGCACCAAATTTTTTTTTACAGCAATCCCAGAACGCCTTTCTACAAGTGGGCGAAAGTTCCGAATAGTCCTCCACGGCGCGCCTCGCACATGTTCTACCATCCTCGTCGGGCTCTTGACCCAATTTACAGGATTTGCTGCAATCTGTTGAGTCAAAAACATTTACTTACGAATTTGAGCTTTTAAAGAGAAAAGAGATAAACGGAAACACACACCAACTGTTACGTTGTAAAATGCTGAGAGAAAATAAAAACTGATTTGAATACAATCGTTTTATGAAAAGGAATTTGTTTACCTTCTTTGCTTGCACTCCTCTTCTTCCGAGCATTCTTGTGGTCGCAACCGTAATCTGTCAACACAAACAATATTGAAATCATATCTGAAGACCTACGGCCTTGAACAGGAATTCTACAAGGTAGAGATAATGATTTAAGGGTTAAGAACGGCGCAAACGATCATCCGGTACGTTTTAGTACAGGTTAAATTTTTGACTCAGGTACTGACTGAAAGCTTGTTTTCTCTTTCATTTCTCACCATGCACTAGAAAAAAGAAGAAGCGCATTGTCTTTTCCTGGGTATTTGAAAGGGGAAAATCGCTGGATTAATCGTTTGCACCCTAAGTTAGTATTGAAATTGTCCGCTCTGTTCTCGCTACATTTCCTATGCTATTGACAAGGAGAACTTGTTTGAGAATTAGGAGCTTCTTAAATTGGTGGTCATTTCCTGTATTCCCATGATCTTTACATTTGATTTAGGGAAGACACTGTTAGGAAAAGTTAGAAGCTGGTCACTCTTAAGGGCTAAAGGGTTAAAAGACGGCAAGTGGATAGAAGGTAAATAAAAAAAGGTTATTACGTCCTCCTGAATGGAAATATCTAGTCCGTAAAATGTCACCCCGCACCCTTACATATTTCTTGACAACTAATGCAGGGGGGTTAATAAAAGCCACCCCCCCCCTCCCCGCCTGTCTACCAATTTCACCACCGTTGTTGAGCCTGCGAGGAGACTGTCGTGTTTGGGTTCCGCCTTGCAGCCCCTTTTTTCGGGCCCAGTTGCCTGTCACGCCATCAGCAGCCGCTTATTACGGTGGCCCAGAAGGCTCAACGCAAACAAAAAATATACTGCAGCAAATAAAAAATATACTGCAGCAAATAAAAATATACTGCAGCAAATAAAAAAAAATTAAAACGCAAAGCAAAAAAGTACCGCAGCAAATTAAAAAAATGCAACGCAAACAAAAAATACGGCAGCAAATAAAATATGCAACGCAAAAAAAAAAAAAGAAAACGCAAACAAAAAAAATTGGAACGCAACGCCAAGGAAGACTGGGTAATAGTTCTTAGTTTCCCGCCAAAACAGCATGAACTGGAACTCGTTTTTGATTATGGACGAAAGCGATCTGCGTAGGATTATAGAAGATTACTTTCATCAAGGGTACGAAAAAAAAATTATTATCGAATTTTTAAAGGAGCAGCATGTTACTATCATAAGTTCGCTGCAAAACATGGTTTCGGAAAGGCGAACAAGAAAAGGATGGAACGAGTGTTGGCGGGAAACTAAGAACTATTACCCAATCTTCCTTGGCGTTGCGTTCCAATTTTTTTGTTTGCGTTTTCTTTTTTTTGTTTGCGTTGCATATTTTATTTGCTGCAGTATTTTTTGTTTGCGTTGCATTTTTTTATTTGCTGCGGTACTTTTTTTCTTTGCGTTTTGATTTTTTTATTTGCTGCAGTATATTTTTTATTTGCTGCAGTATATTTTTTATTTGCTGCAGTATACTTTTTGTTTGCGTTGAGCCTTCTGGGCCACCGTAGCTTATCGAAAAAGTTATTGAAACTTCTGCTAGTGTGGAAGAAAGGAGACAGAGATTTCACAGAGAGAAAGAAAAAACAATGCAGCACGATACCTTCTCTCCCGTCACTCACAAAGTTCTCAGTCATTAGGACAATACCAGCATTCTAAGGAAACAACGAAAAGCGATGGTAGAATCATTGCAACTTTTGAGGAGAAGCTGTATGGCTGTACTTTTTTCTATCAAAGAATCTCAGAAAATTTTCAAAAAGTTGCGATGCCTTTAACTCGTCACCAGCTCTTTACTAGACGAATATTCTTTTAAACTCCCGCTATCGTTTCATTTTCAAATCTAGTTCGCCTTACAACTCTTTTCAACAGCCACGAAACAACTTTCGGGATTTAAGAGTATCGACTCACCTAGAAAAAGGATTAGAAACTGATCAATTTTTGGAAAATTGGAAATGGAAATAGAAAATTGGGGATATATTTCGTCCATTTGTAGTCTATCTGGTAACACTACCAACCTTAAAAATGTCTTTGTTGTTCCTTCCTCCTCCTACACCACAACCAAGATCAAGTCACTCCATGGCCTTGAAAATCTGGGAAGGGAAACACAATGGTCCGGTTATTTACACGAGGTCTAACCCACTCCGTTTTCTGCATGTAAACACACACAGCCGCTCTTACGAAGGGCTAAAGCTCGAATTGTCAGCTTTATAAAGTCTTTACGGTGGCCAATTTACATTATCAAGTCAGTTGATAAAACTAAATTATCTTGTTATACACCCCGACCGACGCAGCACCGCAGTTTCTAAAGAAACTTCCCTCCCCTTTATTCATTGGCAGTGAAATACTTCACTGTTTTTTGACTCACTGATAATTTGGTAAGTCCCCGACGTCATCCATAAGTCCCCCCTCAACAAACACACAAAAACCATCTACATGTACCAGTATTCCCTCTTCGTAACGGGACTGAGTCCGCCATTTTAGTGAAATACATTGACAAAGAAACTAGCAACATAGACGAATATTTCAACTGCAGCATTGTTAAGCGACACCACTCACCCTTTCCTTAGTGAGTCTGTTCTCGTTCCTCAAAAGGTACACGCTTTGGTCCACACTAAGAAGACCCAGACGTGTCCCTTGTGGGGCCCTGACTAGCAGTCGGTAATGATTCCCCGGGAGTTGTTCCACTTCGTTGAGTTGCACCAAACTCCCGTCGGACTGCTGCTGCCATGCATCTGGAAATTCGACCTAATGTTGACAAAATGCGGTAAGTATTGTATAGGTATAAGAAATATAACTGTAAGAACAAGAAGTATTAGAAGTATGGTTATAGGTTGAGGGTATGTGAAAACGGAGGGCCCACGTTCGCCGATTTACTCAAGTAATAAACATGGAACTTCTCCATAAAATATCCATACATCATTCACCAAAGAGGTAATGAGAATAATGAAACTTATCAGGTAGATATTTTTATCTTGATCTAACACCAAATTCTCTTATCTAATTTAAAAGGAAATGTGTAGCAGCTGGAGGGACAATCACATTTCGGGATTTAAAAGGCTACGACGACCGTTCTTATTTCTGCGAACACAAACTTTTCACAAAAATTAGTGCAGCTGTTTTGCGATGCAATGAAATGAAAAAGGTAATCATGAATCACAACGCAACACAAGTATTCATTTCTCTTTTTATGAACAATTTTTTTGGAAGATTGCGGTTCAAATTAAAGATACAAGAAGTCCTTTAACCACCCAGAAGAAAATGAAAACCCTTTGACGGATTTTAAAGAAAATTCTTTCCCGCTTTCTTTATACTAAATCTTTTTCCCTCACCTCGGTGGGAAGTTTGTCATCAATTCTGAGCAAAATGCTGTCAGCTACAACTCGTTCGTTGCTGTCAATGTAATAACCAATCAGACGCGCTGATGGTGACATTTCAGGAGTGACACGGAACGACCAACTTTTAAACATGCCGTCAAAATTGTTTGTTGTGTTGTGAGATATAATTCGTCCACGAGACACAACCTGAAATCGAACTTTTCATATTAGACAAACACAAATCAGGCGCTATTGGAACTGGAGTGTGAATGGTGAGTTATCCATTCAGAAGAACGAAAAGGTGCCACATCAGAACTAACATCTTTAAAAGTGTATGGCTGACAGAAAGGAGAATTGCATTGAGATCTCAGGAATAAAAGGGTTATCCATTGCGCACATGTACTATCCTCGACAGCGTCCTCATCAGTGTACAGTCAACGCGGCAAAGGTGAGAATTCAACCTACCGCAAACGAAAGTTTAGCAGCAGCGTCGTTGCGGTCTCGGTAACTTTCACACTGTATTTTACGGCCAACCTACGAAAAAAAGGGCTAAATAAGCATGTTTTTATTTACGACGGACGAAGTCTGTGGTTTGGGGTAGTCTGAGAGTCAAACTAACCCAGGATTGCACTGGCTTCGCAAAAAAGGCAGGACTGCTCGTAGTTCATACCGCGTGATGACATATTTTTCTGATTGGTAATAGCAGGCTTTGGTTTCATGACACGCAAACGAAAAGCTCTCTATCAAACTATTCATGGACCAAGCTGTAAAACCACTTATCAAAACGTTCATATCAGGACTACAAACTCAGTGGACAGTTTGATTTGCCTTTCAATCGGCTACCTCCGCGAAAATCATTTTCGTCCCAGTCGATAAAATATGCATATACCTGCAGAAAAATATCTTTGTGAGTGTATATGCAGTTCTAAAATGAGCGAACGAAAAAATTGTGGAGTAGCGCTATCTCAGCTAGTATGGCCTTACACTGCTATCCGGGGATCACGAGTAAAAATCTGACTAAAGCCAAATGGTCATCTGCTGTTCACGATTTGTCTTCCAGCTCCTTCGATTGAGAATATCACGTGAGGATCTTTAAGACGAGCGGGGTTAAGAAGGTGTCTACTGCCAGAAAATCTTGAAATGTAAATCACTAAGGGTTGATCAGATAGTGAAAGTTACCTTTCCATGTGTCAGCTGGCGCACCATAATCAGCGGTCCGTTTTCTGCGTCAAATGGGGTCACCACCTTATTGGCCACCGCATTCTGTTCAGGAGTTAGTTTCTGGTTGTCCGTTTTAACCTAATAAAAAAAAAATTAATTACGCACCAGTCTCATACTGGACCGTGTGTAAATCTCATAATTATCACTTTGCCGGGTACTGTGGCGTTCTTTTGCAGGCTAAAATGGAGATTTTGGCCAGCCAAAATACTCGCCATCAAGTGATTGATCAAACTATTTTGCTGCCCTTTTTTTCTTCATTCGGCGGCTCGGGTTAAAATAACTCTGAGCTGGGTCCAAAACATAATTATTTACAATCTCTATTGTGTTATTACAGAGAGAGAGAGATTACATCTTCTGACCTACTAGATCAAAGAGGATGTTGGGTGGTGGTGGGTCATCATTCATATCAATACTGGGAGGCGGTGTGGCCGAGTGGTTAGGGTGCTGGACTTGTAATCCGGTGTCCCGGGTTCAAGTCTTTCACCCTATTATTCATTAGATTTGTTCTCGGTTGCCCCTAGTTCAACTCCTCGGCTGCGCTCTGTAAATAGCCCACCAGTGGGGATTCTTAAGCACTTAGTTAGTCTACATTGTGGCTGAAAAGTCCCTTATGGGGAGCTTCAATTTACGTATTTATTATTTATTATTATTTTAAATCTTACAGTTGCAATTTTAATGTTTTAGTATTTTGCCAATTGATTTAGAGGCTTTATTTTAAACTGGATAATACATTGACAAATTGCTTAATTCTTCCACCTATTCATTTATCAATGAATGTTACAAAAAAATTTCAACATTGAATTATCAGCCCCTTAAAGACTGCAATGTGACAGAAGTAAAGCTCTGGCATCTATTACTATCAAAAGAGTTTGGTGGATATCAAATTACAGTCAACTTTTTGTTGATTCAAAGCCAACTCAATTTGAAATAATCCAAATGGTTTTGAACGCACAATACATAATCTTTTTAGTTATTACCCTACAGAAAGATGGATGAATTACGCTCACTGTGTTTGATCTAACCTTAATATGAATTTCGTCACAGTCTAAACAAGCATCCACCACAAACTCAACCTCTCCATTTTCATCTGTTAAGTCTACTGAATTGGGGTCTCGATCCTCTCTCCTCAAATCATTTTTAGCATCGCCTTTTATCCCTTGGGCAGAAATCAGCATTGGAACATTCTTAGCTGGCTTTTTGTTGGGATAGGTAACCAAAGCCTAGAATACAATCGCAGCAATTATATCAAAATCTGCCAAACATTGCTAGAAGTTATGCATTATTACTTTTATATGAAGAAACTAAAGTACATGGAACTGAAGATCCTTTCTGTGGGCCATGACAGTCCATGTGCTTTTCATTCTCATGACAAAAGACCAGATTAGCACACAAATCACCCTTTTCCCAGACTTTACTTGATTGTCAAGTGTAAAAGACCTTAGCCTATTCTCTGTTGAGTCACACAGTTTTTTTAACTCAAAGTATGAGAGCTTCAAGACTGAATTTAACTGTATTTTTGGTAGATTTTGCCCTCCCTAGACCAATTAACAAGTAGAGTTACAAAATAATGTTGAATTCCTGGAATTCCTTCCTCCTTGCCTCAACCTACTTTTTTTTAAAGGGGGGGGGGGTGAGATTCAACACCATAAAAAGGACTACATATGGTCATTTTAAGCAATTAGAAGCTACTATTTTTTTGTATGTTGTCTCTAAATTTTGAGCCAAAGTATTTCAAAGAGCTGTTATGTAACAGTTCTTACCTTCACTACATACCGCAATCCCGGTTTAAAGTATCTTGGCGTGTTTTTGAAGGCAATGCGGTAAGGGCTTGATGTAAATTGGCACGTCCTATCCTCAACTGTTGCCGTGTTACCTGTCACCAACTCAACAACATCAACCTGAACCAGAAGTCTGGCTTGCAACGGGAACCAGATTTTCCCAGGGAGGTCTCGGATCATCTGGACCCGTCGTGGTACAGTAGTAACCCCACTGCTGTGGAGCTGAGTCAAAAATGGATGGAGGTGAATAGTGACACAAATATTGCTAAAAGAACAACTCTCTTCAATGAGCCAATGAGTGAGTGAGCCAGTCAGTCACTAACTTAGTCAGTCGATCAGTTGAGATCAGTCAGTCAATGAGTCAGTGAGAGAGCGAATGAGTGATTGAGTGAGAGAGCAAATGAGTGCTTGAGTGAGTGAGTGAGTGAGAGAGTGAGTAAATGGGTGATTAGTCAGCCAGTAAGTCAGCCAGTAAGTCAGTCAGTCAATCAGTGTATCAGCCAATTGATAAATAAACCCCATATTCTGTTCAGTCTATCAATAAACTGAACAAACAATGACTTAGTCAGTCTGTCTGTCTGTCAATCTAATCTGATCCTTGTGTTATAACCTACCATGATGGTTTGCGAATCAAACATTATAGTTTGACCATCAAGACCCACTATAGACAAAGAATATTTAGCATTTGCCAGGACAGGTTTCCCATATGTGTACCTTGGAAAAAATGAACAAAGAGAGATGTGACCATGGGTTAACTTTATTTTGATTTCAAGTCAAAACAGCTAAAAAAAAAAAAAAGATTGGTTACCCTGTAAACCAAATTAAAATGTGGCATCCAATATGAATTGCCATTGTTCTGGACTTACTAGCCTTTCACACATGTGATAATCCTTTTACGTTTCCATGTAAAGACGAGGCTAGTAAGTCCAGAACAATGGTAATTCAAATTGGATGCCATATTTCAATTTGGTGAATGGTGTAAAATTAAAATTGTGCAACAAGGAAGGAAAGAGTTCAAACAATGACACAGAACTTGCTTTTAGCTTTCTTGTTTATCAACTTCAAATACTCCACCCAGTTTTTTTCTGTTCACATCCAGACATTTATTTAAACATTGGAAATTTCTAGTGGGCCACTTCCTAAGGAGAGTTGTGATTCTCTGATGCATATGTAGTCCCTCACTATCACAGCAGAGTTCTGTCGGCAGTTTTCTTTAAATCTCATGTGTTTTTTTGTATGATACTTGTGCAAGAGCTGAGTGATAAGATTTGAGTTGACCACAGACTACAAAGATTCCACACTTCAAGCCAAACAGTTTAAATCCAACAAATTTTACTGCTATGTGACCACCACAATAGCACCTTTGTCACTGCCATATCATGGCAAAAATCAAGAAAATTTAATCAACGGAGTAAAAAAAATTGAAGTGGAAAAAGAGAAAAGGCCAGCAACAAAACAGATTGTAAATTAGCAAGAAGGCTTAGCTGCTTTTCAAATTTGTGGCTTATATTTTGCCCTTTTTATGTTTCCATTTATTGTTTTCTCCTCTTCTCTACCTTAGCAAACAATAATACTCAAGTAAAATTTGTTGGATTTAAACTATTTGGGTTCAAGTGTGGAATCTTTGTAGTCTGTTATCAACTCTAATCTTATCACTCAGCTCTTGCACAAGTATCATACAAAAAAACACATAACATATAAAGAAAACTACCGACAGAACTCTGCTGTGATAGTGAGGGGCTATCACTAAATTTAATCAACGGAGTAAAAAAAATTGAAGTGGAAAAAGAGAAAGGCCAGCAACAAAACAGATTGTAAATTAGCAAGAAGGCTTAGCTGCTTTTCAAATTTGTGGCTTATACTTTGCCCTTTTTATGTTTCCATTTATTGTTTTCTCCTCTTCTCGACCTTAGCAAACAATAATACTCAAGTTCCCTAAAGTTTTAGCAAAGGTCTAGTGATCAAAGAGTTCTCTTAAGCTCAATAGTAGAGCATTGGTGCACAGAATAAAAAGGACTGATATTTTATCCTTGCAGTGGGTACACAAGTTTTCTTTGTCCTACACTTTCGACTAGATGAATAAAACATTTTTTTTCATGACTTAGCTCAAACTTTACCATCTTTCTCATTCTCTGTTACATTATTCTCTGAAAATTTCAAAAGAGCTACATTGTCTTTTAAAAGTATCTCAGGTTAGGATAGTGTTTGTTTTGGTAACCAAGTTATCTCTTACCTTGCAGTAATATTGATCGTGAATTCATTATCAGTTTTCAGTATGTAAGGTGGCACTGTGAGTTTCACCGAGAACTTGGGAAGCACTAAAATATTAAAGAAGTACGCAACGTTTAGCATGAGAAACATCAAGGAACTGATTGAGCCCTTCAATATGTATCCTTACCATATTCTTTCACTTCAAACTGCACAGAAGTGTTGTGGATGTTCTTTGAAAAAAAAAGAAAAGAAAAAAAGGAATAAAGAAAAAGAAATTCAGTCAATGACCACGTGTAAAATGCTTTTTCTTTTTTTATTTCATGTGACTGAAATCATTCTGTTTTAAGTTGAAATCTGTATTGTTTTAATATCACTGTTATTGACTGGGACAAAGATGTGATCCAGAGAAAACTAGAAAATGAGTAGCAAAGTAGAAATCTAACTTATCCAATAACATGCATCCAACTTGGTTTCGGAATTACGGCATTACATATTTGTTCATAGAGTAAAAGATTTGCCATATTACCATCATTGAAGACATTTAAAGAGCTTAGAGAACTGGAATACCTGGTGACCGTAAACGGCTGTTATGGTCCAATTACCATGGAGTACAAAGTCGCCCAGTTCGAGTCTTTTTGATATGATACCTTGATAGGGAAATAAATTTATAAATTAAGCATGTCGATCCCAACATCCACAATCAGTAACAGCCATAACACAATCATATAAAGAAACCTTACCATCATTTGCATTACTTGACAACCACCGAAACAATATTTCATCACGTATTTAAACAGTAAAGACACCTTCCTTGAATTGCTGGGTGATTAAGACACGTAAATCATATTTTGAAGTTTACTGTACGTTTCATTAAGCAAGCCGCCATTTTGAAATAGCCCGCGAGGAGCACGTGACAAAAACATGTTGGGTCTGAAGATTGATCACACTGACATTGCACGTAAAAATTCCGCATCTTATTCAAAAATTAACTATCTAGCCCCCTTATCTACAAGTTCAGTTCTCAAAACAATTTCCGAAACACAACTCTTTCGAAAAAGTGAAGACGATAGCAAGAGATTAAGTAGAAAAGTAGTCGTGGTATATTCACACGTTTCAAAAAAAAAGAATATCAGTCGAACATGTGGCTAATAAAAGAAGAATGGACAATATGTACGTCTGGTGGGACCTTCTTATACATCTCTCTAAAGGTTTGACAAGGAACAATTCACACCTGTAGTGGTATCCAAGTCTTTCCACTGTTGTACACGGACACCCTGTGGATTCTCAAAAAGAAAAGTATCACCATAAATTAGGTTAACAGGTTTAGGGCCAAACTCTTTTAAAACTCTGTAAAAGAGGTTGCTAAAAAATTATGTTCCAAAAGGGTCAGTCGCTTTGGTTAAAGGAGTGTGCTGTGATTAACGAATTCTTCATCGTTCAAACACTCAGAGGGGGTTAAGAAAAGGACACTGTTTGCAAATAAGACGTAGTTGGAAGCCATCACGTCTCCAGCAGCGTCGATCTCTTTATAACCTTTCTCTTTATAACTCTTTATAAACGAACGCATTAAAAAATAAACAAAAAACAAGCAGTAAATTCTTACCATAACTACCACGGTAATCTATAAAGAAATAAGATGTGTGGAAGTAAGATAAGTGTCGAGAAATAAAGATGCCAAAATACAAAACAAAAGGTTAGTTTGTTCGAAAAATCTTCATAGGGAATTTTTCCGTTGTCTGCCAACTCTTAGGGTCTTTCAATTATTCTCGTTTGTGTGCCCAATGTTTCAAATTTAAGCAAAAAAAAAAAGCCACCATACAGCTACCTTTACATTATCAAGGGTTTAGGGTTTAGCTTTGAGAAGAGGGATTCCTAAACTCTCTGTTACAAAAGAGTGTTTTCAGAGCAAGTAGGATTTGATTGCCGTATGAGTTTTAAGTTGATTCTGATGGGCAAAATGATATGTAAGGAAGACTGAAAGTATCATGTAAATTTAACAAATCGACGGTTGTTTAATCCACAACATTTTAACCACTGTGATGACAAATATCATTGTCAATAAGAGTATAGACCATGCTTAACCACTGTCGATTTGTTTGTGGCCAACTCGAAAGCTATGCTACTTTGGTCACTGTGCACATTTTACTTTTGATTATTGATGTAATTTACTGTTTTTTTTATATATTCTGACTTTTATAATCTGTAGTAACCTCTTGAAATAGTGCGAATAAAGAGTTTCCTTCCTTCCTTCCTTGTACCACAATATGATTATCGATGTCAAATATAAAACGGTTCTTCCAGTGCGTGACACGTTTCGTGATATGTGTCGTGACAAGTTGACGCGAGAAGCCCTGTCTGTACATCGACAACGTCAAATTGGCCAATCAGATTGTGACGTTACTGCCGATTGTGGTGAATAGTGTACTCACCTTCCGCCTTGATGGCTTCATATCAAACTCGAGCGGCATCACTCTGATTTTCACTGTTTAAAAGAAAGAAATTTGAGTTAGACTCAGTTCACATGAGGAGTGAATAGTGAATTTCCTTTTCAAGGTTCGGTCGAAGGGGATCATTTGTAATATCTTACCACTCTGTCTCGGTGTGTAGATGGGTTTGTCGGTCTGTATGAATACCACGCCGTCTTTGTAACTCAAAAGAATCTTTGCTTCTTTGTGAAACTGAAAGTGGCCATCGTCTGACTTTGCAATCAGATAAACATACTGTTTATCAACAGAGTTGGGATCTGAAAGGTCTTGCGGATTCACCTTGAGTGGGGTAAAAGGAACAGCAGTAAGTAACAAACAAAATTCTACTTTTAATTGAACCTCAGATAGTACCTACTATTTTATATCTGGACCGCAAAGCCCTATTTTCTCTCAAAAAGGCCTCTGCTTTGCCATAAAAATATCTTGGTATAAGAATAAGATGTTTTTTTACATAAGGAAACACTTAGGTTTTACTGAGCTGGTACTTTCCCCTGACGTTAGAGAACACTTACAACATATATTCTTTAATTTTAACAAGATAACCTATACATTACAGAATAATCGAGTAAACTTGTCATACCTTTACAGGCAGAAAAACGCTGTTATCTGGAGAAAGGAAAATAAAACGATAAGACTTTGCATTATGTTACATGAAAAGATATATTTTTTCTCAGTATCAACCAATATGAAGTTACCGTTTGAAACAACTCCTTGTACTTCTGAGAATGTCTTTCGTCTGTGTGGATAGTCCTGTAGATACAACTTCACTGTTACCAGTTGTGGTGCGTCGAACACCGTCACTGATACCTTCTCTTGGACACCAATGTGAAACACATTTGGAGCCATTATAGAAAACCTGAAATGATAAAATGAAAGATTGAAAGATAAATTTTCAACCAAGTTTCATGAATTACTCCTGAGATTACTGGCTCTTCGTCTCTCACATTCTTTAGAAAAAAAAATTTTTATTATCAATAACTACTAATTCTACTATGACCAACAATATACGGCTCGTCAACATGTTCATTGTTTATCATATCTATAATCTAGATTTATTGATCTTGCGCTGCTTATAAGCCTTTATGCCTCTTATTTGGTTTCCTCACCATAGTCTTTTTTTCTAATCTTGATCAATTTTCGTAAATCGTAGTAACATATGAAATGGCAGATAAAATCAATTATAACATAACCAAAGTTAAGCGCGCGCTCTGATTGGTCAATTTAGCGTGCCCCATTTGCCCGTGGGTGTGCGCTGCTGACGTGAGCAAATGCAAAGACTATTTTTCCGCGCGCGCTTGTTTTTTCTGGTCACGTAAGACTTGTTAAATAAAAGGGAACTCGTTAGCTTCAATGTATCAATGTTATGTTATAAAACAAATGGTAAACACCACAGCGTACACTATTGAGTTATGGATGCACTTGGAAGGTTTGCTAAGCACTCAAGAAGCTAGAATCGTTCTCGGCTATCGCCTCGCGCGACTCTTACGCTTCTTTCGTGCTTAGCAACCTCCCGCGTGCATCCATAACTCAATAGTGTACGCTGTGGTGTTTACCATTTGTTAAATAGAAAAAATAATTAACACGCTTGCGGCTTGATTGTATTAAGAACAAAAACCCCTACATTCTGATAATTGTCTGAAAAACAAAAATCCATTGATTTTACACCCTTTTTGACTAGACAAGAGCATATCATCACTGTTACAGATTACGCCATGAATGCGTTCAAATTTACAAATGAGTTCAACACTAAATAAGTTTACAGAGCCCAAGTCTATTAGCCGTCCTTCTTAACCAGGCAGCCTCCCCTGCCCCATTCAAAACGGAGAATTTTGAATGACGAACCTCTCTTACTCATGGTCTTATTCGTAGGGAACTTATAGAGCAATGTATGGTTAAAGTATACAGATTTTTTTTCCTTAATTAAATGAAATCTAGCTTCAGAAGAAGGTTTGATATAAAGAGGTCAGTATTATATTAGAAAATATGAAAATACATATCTCATATCATTAAAAAGAATTATTTGTTATAACATTTAATGCGGCGCTCTTGCAGAGAATGAAATAAACATCCTCTTAAACGCCTGAATACATCCATGAATCAAAATTTAATTCAAAAATCAACATTCCGTGAAGGTTCATGTGAATTCGCCATATTTTTTGCTTTGCTATTGCCCGCCAAATGACCCACGCATGCTCCCGATATTTGAGAAAAAACAATACTTTTACTTCCTGAGACGCCTACACGGTATTTGGAAAAACAAGATTACAATCAGCTACAGCACTTCTGGACGAACAATTAACAGGAGCTAATGCTAACGGAAGACGAAACACAGCATGAGGCCTGATCTGCACTCTCGCATATTTGATCAGGTTTCACCTCCACTGCGAAGAGAATATACCTCAGATGAATGTCACATAGTACCGCTATATTTCATCTTTCGCTTACTCCCAACCATTCTGAGAACTTTTGCCAAGGTTTACCGACTTGTGATGGAACTCAACAGCCCACTCGCGAAAAAAGCTCACTTGTGGTTTTTCAGTAGCTTAAATTTAATTCTCTAAAAAGCCAAATAGCATCTGGAAGATTTGGCTCGACACTCATTTATTTCCAAATATCAATTCTCGAAGAAGAAGAAAAATTCGAAAGTTTTAAATGCCGATTGAACTGGTCTTTATTAATATTAGCTATAAAATAAGTCCAAACAAAACTTAATCTTCATTCAAATTTTTAACTAATTTGTATTTCCGGTCTCAAAGCATATTCAATCCTAGATATGAAAAGGCCCACGTAATGCCCAGTCACTCAAGCGCAAAGGTTACACATAGGCCAGTTTTTTTCTTCGGAAGAAAAGTTTCAGTTTGATCTGAAACATACATACACTTCAAAGCGCATTTTTCAGCGCTCCTGCAAGCCAAGAAATCACAAAAAATCGCGGAACACAATTTCATTCTGTCATGCTTAAGATATCGTTCTTTATATCTAGTATTTCTGGCCAGTTTTGGAGCGCCGCGTATCATCCGCACAAATTAAAACGATACTCATGAACTGAAAAAGTGTAATGTCCGATATTTTAAATTTAAGAGGGCTTATTTCCCAAAAGCTAATTTTTTTGGTGCTCCCTCAGTTTCAACCGGAGCAATACGAAGTTTATTTGTCTAAAAGCACAGCGCGCCGTTACCAATCGTGTAACGGTTGACAAAGCACTTGAGCTCAGCTGGTTTATTCCAATTTACCGGCTTTGATTGAAAGCAAAAATTTGCTTGTTTAATATTTTGGCTTTTGTTGCGGACTTGCACTCACTCGCAGTTAATTGCCGTGGCAGTTAAATGCTGGAGCGTGATTACCCAACATTTTGCAGTTCGTGTTACCGACAAAACGTACGCCGAAACTAATGAATTTAAAAAAAGAAAAAGATCAAGAAAGGTCGGAGACTTAATCATTGTTGAAAGAAAAATTTAACTAACCTTTTGGCTGCTATACAACCCAACGCAAGTAGAAGTACCGTTATTCGCAGCGTTGCACCGACAAGCTTCGCCATCCTTTCAGCAAAGCTTTGGAATAATGAAACTCCTTCCTGCAATGCTGTGGTTATAAGGCGTGATGTGTGATCTGCTGGGACGTGTCTCGCAAAAGCACCAAGCTGAGGTGTTGACAGGTTAATCTTAATTTTTCTTCCTCGTGTTTCACTGTTTCTTTGTCGTGAAACAAGAAAAATGTCTAAGGTCACAGCAAAATAATTTCCTTTTGGATCTAATCGGAAGGTTCTCTTAGTAGAATAGTTCCTTGTTGTATATACATCACACCTATAATATCATGTTTTCGAGGGAGTAGGCAAGTTTGTAAGGGGAAACTTGGTAAACATATACTCAGTCCTCCGCATGACCTCTAGCATATGGCTTCTCGTAGGGATAACAAAACTGATATAAGTCATCAACAAATCGTATACCTTCAAGCCCTGACAAATAGACTTGGGAGACTGAACCAACAAAAGACAAAAGTATAATGACCCATCCCTGTTTTGTTGCAACCCATATCCCTCCAAAATGGACATAACAATGTAAAACCATAAGGTCTGATTTGGGGCGGAGCGGCACTGACATTTTACTTCCCCGTGTGAAAAACTAGACCCTCACTCAAAATTATTTATTGGGCATCAACATAATTTTCTCATCGAACGCTTTCTATAGAACAGGAAGTCCGTTTTTTCTTAGAATTTATACAAAACACATGTAGGAGGGATAAATTATTTCCGTGACTGACTTCTATCAGCACTTATAATTGAAGTACATTTTTTGTTTTTAAAAATATTTAGGAACTGACAGCAGTGATTTTGATATATTCCTCCCGGATCTATTGGAAATGCAGTCATGTAGGATATTCCAAGTCAAAGAGGAAAAAAATCATCTAGCACCAAGCATTACAGTCTCAGTTTTTGCCATACTGTGATGTGATTTTACTCCATCAGTTCAACAGTTAAGAAATTAAATGAAACCTATGCCTGATCACGCAGGCACGAGACTTGTTTGGCAAGACTCCATGTATTAAGTTCCATTTCAGCCCATTTTTAGTTCCATAAGAAAGACAAATGATTTCACAAGACAAAGGAGCAAAACTTTTTCTTCATGCATTTCTCTCGTGTAAACACCTCAGTTAAATGCAAAATAAAATGTGCAATTCTTACACTATGAAGCAACCAAGTTAGTCACGTTATCGAAATAAAACAGAGACAATAGACAGCTTGAAGCTTTCTTCTTTCCGGATTATCTGAAGCGTAGGATTAAAAGGAAACAGTGGTATGATGTTCCTTCCCACACGCTGTTGACCTTCACCAGCGGCGACAACTACACCATGACGTCATCTATGTATTTTGGTGCTACATTCATAGACTACTTTCCCCGAGAGTATAGCTTTCAAACCACTTCACTGAGTTAGTCGAGTGATAAAATTAAAACTGCACTGGGCAAAGAAGGTATAGAAAGATGTAAGGCAGAAAAAAAGAGTTTTTAAAACAAAGTCTTTTTGCTTTCCATAAATAGGAAAATTGGTGTCACGTTAACGTCCTGAACTGAAATCCGTTTCGCTCTCCTAACATGTAACACACGCGCGTCGTAGCTCCTCGCGGGAGTTGATCAGCGTCCACACGCTCACATGCTCAATCAAGCTTTACAACGAAACGTACTCTATTTCGTTCCGTCTTTGAGTATTGAGTATCAGTACTGGCTACGCTGTCTACGGAATAACATGTTACTCAAATCTAACCTTCAACTCTCAAGATCCAACTGTTAATTCTCCCCTCTAGCTGCTACACATGTCCTTACAAATAATTACGAGAATTTGGTTTAGGAGCAAGAAAAAAAAGCTTCAAACTGATACGTTTGAGTCTTCTCATTTCCTGTTTGCTGAACAACTTATGGGACATCATAAGGAGAAGTTATATGTTAATCACTTTAGGGAACTAAAAGGTTAAGGAGGTTAAAATGCTACCCCCTCCTTAAGTTCCTCCTGTCTTATGTATTCTTTAGCAAAATCGACTGAACTGACACCCAAATTGTATCGAATAAACCTTGAAATGGCCTGCGAGCGTAAAACTTGTCACACAGGGCTACACAGGTATTTCCGGTTAGTTTAGATGACACTTTCATCCGGTGCACACTATAATCAAACCCGTGTCTCGACTACAGAGCTCACGTCGAGGAATACATTAATCTAAAGGTGGGTTATTCTCATTGTCACGGTTCCGCCGAAAAGCTTTTTGCGTGTTGCTTGCACACTTGAAAGTTTGCAGTTTGAAAACGGGAAACTGGAAGAATAAAGAGAAAAAAAATTGTAGCTCTCTGTAAACGATTTAGTAATGGAGCAAGGAGGCTCACGGTCATTGTTATACAACAACGGACCTCAGTTCCTCTCGCCAACGCAACGGAAGTAAGAGGAGATGTGTAGCCCACTCCTTCTGACCATACTCAAGGAGGCGTTTCCATTCTTCGAAGAGCCACCAATGAGACTGAAGTGTCAGTTTAAAGGCTAAGTTATCAATTGTCCGTCTTGAAGTTCAGCTCATCTTCCAATTTCTTCATTTCTTTCCTTTCAACATTTTTGTTCAGTTTCTTTTTATTATCGCTCCTTAATTTGTCGACTAAAACGAGCTTTTAGATGCAGAATCACCTCCAAACAACTGAATTTTAATCGAGCTTCAGTAAAACGTACAAAGGATTTGAGAAAACTTTCTAAAATAAACAAAAAAGAAATCTTCACCAATTCAATTCCTGCTATTAGTTTATTTCTATGCACTTCATCTTTAACTAAAATAACAGAAGCAAGATACTGCTTTAGTCCTACATATCCGCATCAGACTTCAAGTTATACAGAGAAGAAAAATATATTGTTATCATCATTCCATAAAAGAGTATTTTTTAATTATCTAAAGCATCTCTTTCAGAGAACTCTTTTCTTTAAAATTGGGACTTTGGAATCACTGTTACATTCACGACCATCGTCTGTCAACCAAAATGCATTACCCTCTATCGAGGTTTAGTTTCTCGTCATGTGCTAGCCCTTTTCGCCTTCAATAAAAAGTCATGGTTAACAAAAACTTTCATCATCATTTTTTAAAGCCACTGGTGAGTTTCGATCACAGGTGAAGGTGAAATAAGGCTACAAATCAAAGTAATCACAAGGGCCAATTAGTAAAACAAAATTATCAAAAGGGGCCATTGAAAGCCAAAAAACACAAACAAAAAGACCAATTCGCGATTGGTAGAGTTATGAATCTGGGGAGCGAAGCTACGACTTATCATAGGCGAAGTCTTATACAAAACCAATGGACCAGAAGTTGACTCAATTTCAAAAGTCACTTGCAGATTTCTCTAATCTTTATATTCTTTCATTTTTTGTTTTATCCAATCGATGAATGGATGCACTTTAGTGTAGTATCCATAGTGCCCCTTTTGCGCGCATCCATCGCCCCAACTTACAATACCAGCGGCGACCCATGCCCTACGTTTGCCACTTTTTATGACGAATGCTCCACCGCTATCTCCGTGGCAAGCGTCGCTTTTGCCCTTGCCATCCCCAGCACAAAATGTCGTGGAAGAGTTGAGCCTTGCTTTGTTCACACACAAGTGATCACTCTGGATTCTAAAAGAAGCCTGTTTCAGAACCTTTGAAAAGTCGCCATTCTGAGCCCTCTCTCCAACTTCAACATGTTTTGTTCCCCCCCATCCTGCCACTATGCCGTATTCGTCAGGAGTTGCCAAATCTTGTTCATCTTTCTCGGGTAAACATACAGTTCGCACAAACGCTGTCAATTCAATCGGCTGTTTGACTTTCACAAGAGCTATATCATTTCGAAACGAGCTAAAATCAAAATCTTCATCATGACGAATTATTTTCTTGGTTGATGTTCTCTGCGTGGTCCCTTTAGGACCCTGCTCTGACAATTCATGGGCGCCAGCGTACACAACGTATCTACGAACATTACAAGAATATGTGACATTACACCATTTTGCTTAAGAATCAAAACGAGAACTTTGCGGGAATGATTTCAGCAGCTTTTCGACTGATAACAATAAAAGAAATATTTTCAGTTGATGGGCCACTTTCTATCGCACACTTAATAGCCGAGGAGAGGAGTAATTCACCACTCCCCCTCCTCTGTTGCGCTATTTTACCATAATAAGGCAAGAGAAAACGGTGAATATGAGCCGGGAATACACTGAAGAATAGGGCAAAATGCGAGCAAAAAGAGGTGCCAAAGAAAGGCCGGATAATAAGATCCAAACATCAACTTACTAATGTCCTTTAGGCGTAATTTTTTTGAACCGAGAATTTTCTGCTAAACTGGAATTTTTTGTTGCAAAAGGCACTTAGATGGTTTTGTTTAATTTGATTACAGCATCCTAATAGGTGTTTGAATCAACATCAAAGCATGGTGTTATTTGACAGGCAGAAACACAGACCAACGGAGGAGTAGCTGGATGGTGAACGGATAAATGATCAACGAATAGAAGAACTGATCTGCGCTGTGGATGGTAAGATGAATAGAAGGAACCAAGAGCCCATTATCACATGAAAGAACAAAAGAAAAGGGTACGTGGGGAGACATTTGAATGGATGATGATCGGACGGATGGTTGAATGGATGTACGGATGCATG